AATGATGTGTACTTTACAGAATAGTTCTGCTTTTCTACCTACAATTTTTGTCATTTTAGTTTGTTTAAACCACAGGTTAACACACGACGGACGACGCACGACGACGGACGAAAACGGATAGCAATAGGTCACCTGGCATCTTATCCACTTGGTTTGCTACTTTCAGACAATTATTGTATATATTCTACTATTTTATACACTGTGAAATTCTTGAATATATCGATTTTTTCTCATTATTGTAAGACAGGTGAACGAAAGCTACTCCTCACCCTATGGGGTACAAGAAGGACATAGTGTGGCTTATGCCAGCAAGGCAGATGTTGAAATGTCAAATACTGGCCTTTGCGTTGGAGGATTCACTTATCCAGATCGCATGGCTGAGATCATATTCTGTGAAATGAAAGAGAGCAGTGGCAGCTTGTTTGAAAGATTTTTATTTTGGATGTTGCCAGGATATATGTACTCTGGAAATTGAGTTCAAAGTTTATAAATTAAGCAGGTACTTGTATTGGCGACACTGCATTCTTCAGTTTCTAATTGGGCTTAGATTATTTATTATTATCAAAGTACGGAAATGAACAGAAATGATTAAATTGTGTTTAATACTGAAGATATCTTTTTGATACTTGTAACTTAATGGTTTACAAAATGGTGATAAAATTAACAGCATTCTTTTATCGAATAAAATTCATTTATGGCAAGCACAAAAAGAATAGAGACGTAGAGGAAAATTAATATTTACAATGCATTTGCCTTGTTATAAGCCTCACAGTGAGTGTCTTTATTTTAATTCATGATTATATGCTAACAATTTTTAAGAAGATTAAGGCAGCCAATGAGGAATTCAGATCTCAGTATTTGTTGCAGTCATAAAATCCTGTGTATAATGAGATATTTCGTTTACATGAAGGAAATACTCCTAGAGTGTACAGATTTTCTCCTGAAGCACAGGAGTATTTTAATGAGATAGAGGTAAAAGTACGCTTTGGTGTGCTGGAACAGTCTCCGGCCATGGTTGTTGATAGCAGCGAAAAGGAGGATAGCGGCGCAGAAGAAATGGTATCGATAAGGAGTCCTCGGATAAAAATACATGGGTCAGTTCGGTCGTTTGACTCTAATTCTCAATGTATTTACATCCGTCCTGCATCAAGTACTGGGAAGGATGGCTGGAAGCATTCAAATTCCCCTTGAAAATCCACTGGCCAATGTGAATGAGGGTCCTTCTGATGATGCATCACCAGGATCTGACCAGTCTAGAGGAAACTGGAAACTATCTATGATGATGGAGAAATACTCGGAATGATGCACAATGTAGAAAATGCTCTGAGAATGATCAAATGTAAATTCAAAACCCTTTTCAAATTATCGTATCATTCTGAATAAGAATCATTTATTTCACATACATCATAGAACAATATATCTTTTTTTCACTTATCAATAATTCAATCTTTAAAAATGTTGAAAAGGGCAATAACTCACTTAATTCAGGCATTGTACTTTTAATTTGAAATAGTCCCCTTATATTCACAATTCAAAAGTATCTTTTAAGTAGGAAGTATTACGTTCAGCATCAGAATCAAACATTAGAACCATTTTCCCTGTGGGGATCCGGGATTATAGGTCCTCAGTACCCCCTTGCTTGTCGTAAAAGGCGACTAAATGGGACGGTCCTCGGATGAGACCTTGTAAACCGAGGCGCCGTGTCACAGCAGGTGTGGCAAAAAAAGTAAACTTACGAGTTCCATTTTGGTTGAAGAAGCAGCTGTCAATGATATCAAAAAGCCTGTATTTTAATTTGTCGTGCGGAATTGTTGTGTATAAAGTTGAAAAGTCGTAAGTTTTTATGCTGTAAATTTTTGTAAAGTCTTTTTATTTCAAATTGTCCAAAAGTTCTTTAGATTTTTTAAGTATCTACATCCGATTTACACCACTTCTTGAGTATATAGTTGTACAGTACTCTTGAAGTTTTTCTTTCACTTCTGTCAAAATTTTAGTGAGAAGTAACGAAAGAGGCTTGGTTGAACATTTACTGGAACCTGCAATGTATCTTTGTTTGTAAGGATTTTTATGAAGTTTCTCTCTCTCCAATACATATAAGGTAGTTCAAATTCATTTTGCTCTGCAGAATATTAAAAGTATTCAAAACTGACAGGTGATTTTGAAGAATTTCTTCCTTAGAAAGAGAAGTATATGTATAAGTGGATTTACCAAAAAATTAAATCCAAGTTCTTCAAGAATGCAATTTATATAATGAGTCTTACAAACGAAGACAATGTTGTTACCTGCTTTGTCGGCAGGAACCAGTATGTTTTGATCGTGTAATCTATCAAATTCTTTTTTCACTTCTGGTTTATTGAACACAGAAGGATAGATGGTTTTCATTTTGCCCTTCAACAAACAAACAGGACAAACAAGGTTAAAATTCAATTTAACACAAGACAATTTATGGTCACAGTTACAAATACTGGTAGAGGGCCCTTCTCTCAAGAATTCAAACCAGACCTTGCTATTGAGAAGTGGTTGAACAGTACTGCTGATGGTAAAGGAATACATTATTCCAGTAGTTGATGAATGTGAAGAACTATTGTATCAGTCAGTTCAAAAAAGAATGTTTGTTTTTTTAATATAATGTGCAAGAAGTGGGACAATCAATTTTTTAGGTGGGACAATTAAGGATATGGAAATAACTAAAACTTATCTATTCAATTCTCAACCTCCTTAATTAAAAACAAATATACAAAACAAGAGCAGAGTAATCCTTAACATCCTCTGTGATCCTCTGGATCTAACATCCAGAGGTGGGATCAGATAAATAAATGTGCCATGGAGGACAGATAAACAAATCCACTCCTACCGGTCTACACCCGCTGTGTGCTCTAGTATTGTCATAATTAAAGGAAATAATGTAAAATAATCCGTGCAGTCAATTCAGTGTATAAATAATGGATAACATAAATTGGTAGGATGAAAAAATCAGTAGCATTTCATTCAATGATAAATTGTATTTGCTGACAATTTCATTTCTTATCATACATCTCATAGAGATTTACAGTGTATGATGACTTTATAACAAATACATCATATTATAATTCTAAACTTCTTGTGTTCATAACAAATATCCATTGTCAATAATTTAAATTGTTTATTGAAATTTTATGAAATAAGAAATGCTACAGTTTAATAAAAAAATCAAACATGAGATATATAATAATTCTTCCGACTATAAAAGGTAAGTGAGACATATGCAATTGTTGCATATATAAAAATTGAAATATAAGTTGAACACATGTAAAAGTTTATTAAGTCATCACGTTTATCATATAACATAAATTTGGTTGTTACATTACACCATTTGTGTCTTTTTCAACTAAAATATCAAGAACTCTTAATTAACACAAACAACTATGTGGTATCTTTTATCCCAAGCTCACCAAGAGATATATCGTGTCGACGTAGGAATGGAAATTATCATTATTAATTGACAATACGTCTGCTATCAAATATATCTTGACCAATGTCGAGTTGAAGGCCACGGCAAGTGTTTTTTTCCTTTCAACGCAAAAGATTTTGCATAAATTTGCTGTAATGAATATAAAAATAAGTCTTTTAATAATTTAGCGCAATTTTTAAGTAATTTTATTTTTATCTTTTCGAGGGCAAGTGTAACGATTTAGAATAGTTTTATCTTTAATATTTTTTCTCTTTAATTAATTGTTCACACATTATCTACACTTATGCTTTAAATTTTAACTGTCTATTAATCGTTCCTCTTATCTAACCCCCTGCTGATGTAGTAATTACCCGAGTATTGACTCCTGATCTAAAGGATCTTATAATATGCCCCTGATAGTCAGGGGCGGATCTTAAGTATACATAGCGCGAGAGAATGTTAGAATAACGTAGATATATAGGATATATAGACGAGAATACTGATATGTAGCGATATACTGACTTATACTTGTTTTACTTGGATTATTAACTTTGCCTATATGATTTGGATTTCTATGTGATTGTTTAATTGGATTTCATATACTGTGAATTATTTTTCCTGCATGTTTTTATTTGTGATGTGTTGTGTAAATAAACTGTAGAATAGACGAACTTGAGTCTCATTTCAAGATATAAGGAGAATTTAACGCTACCAAATAGAAAAATTAAAGACTGACTCCTCACTGAGGACAAAATGTAAATACGGCCACTCAGTCGGCGTTACACAAGAACCTTAATTTCCTATCAAGCCCTGGGAGACACTACATTTCAGCGCGATTTTCACGGGACCAATAAAATAAGGTTGTTCTATTTGTTGTAGATACCCGCTCCTCCTTTTGTTGTTGCATTTCCTAAGCTATCTGTGCTTTTATTTCAAGAAGTCAGCTTTGGCGAGTAGTTTATAGAATGAGTTACTTTTAATTTTCACACACGTTTTTATTAATTCGGTCATAAAACTATTCGTTAAAACATATGAACCTTGCATTCTTGATTTAATGTGGTAGCAGTTCATATTGGATTTGATTTTGGTTTGTGCTATAGCCTATACTATGGTTATAAGTGGGGAGGCCAACCATCCTATCAATGTACATTTACTATAGTAAAGGTAATGTTGGGGAAAAAAAGGGGTGAGGCCCCCCCTGGCCCCCCCGGATACTCCGTCCCTGATTATAATTTTAACAGATTCCAAGGCATAATCATGTTATTCGCTTCGCAAATGGAATAAGTTTGACGTTGTACACGTTAACGTCAAATCCTGTATAGGAATGACTAACAAAGAAACCTCTTTTACAAATGTATCCATGTATACAAAACAGAGACTCCTTCTCGACAGCTGCAAGGCTATGTTAGCCATTTTGATATTGAATTAATTTTTTGCTGTTTGAATTCAGAGGGGGTATAATATAAGGTCACAATTATTTATATAGAAAAATGAAAATCTTCTACAAATCTGAGGAACAAGTTCCTTTTGTGGATGTAATAACGTTGAACCTCTTGTTAATAGTAATTGATAACATATCATCGTTCTATTACCACTCTTTCGTGCAATTCTGATTATTTTGCTGATTTTAAAGGGTTGTTACGATCGATTTCAAGAGTTGGTTCAAAGTTCATCAGCACCGGTTATTGGGGTTGCGATCACCGTTATGGTAATTGAGGTAAGAATTATTCATGTTTTAAAGATAGTTTAATACACATTCTAAAAATTATAATGCCTATACTAGGTCCAGTATTTAGGTATATACATATAGAACTCTGCATGATTACCTGATTCTTTGATTTATAATTTGGACTTGGATGTACAAATATGGATATTAGAAGCAATGTTATACTAAACATTTTTCAATGAATTCGTGGTTACCTAAAAAAAATTACATGTAAGTACTAGTATATTACATAACGAGGCCTCTTCCTGGTCAAGTACTTGTAAGTCTAAAACAACCCTCCACCGGCTTGTGTTGGCATCTCAATATGAACGAAACATTCTGGAAGAGAATCAAACAATCAATCAACATTTCACATGAGCAAATCCTCCTCCCCTTTTCTAAAATATGAAAATAGTTGAATGCAGCAAATCTTCACACTATTTTGTCATGAAATTTATTTCGCCCTTTATTTGATTACTTACATTTGAACTTTGTCTTCCCTAGCTGCTGGGCTTTGTTTTTGCCATTGTCCTATGTAAGCAGACGGGATCAGAGTCTATGGCTGTGTAGTGCTACCGCTAGGATTTACACGATAGCAGTAAAGCCAGAACAAACTCCAGCTCACCGCTGCTGTCTATCCACGCAATGATCCAGATATAAAGATTTCTAATCAGCTTATGTATAGCTTTGTCAAAGTATAGTATGTAAACAATCAAAATTTTATAATCTTTTATAATTCGATATAGAAAAATATAGCTTTATATTTTAGAAACTTATATTAAGTACATGTCTATTATTCTCTTTAAAATTTCCCCTAAAATTATGAAGTGTTAGAGGATTTATATCATATAATTTAATTTAAAAGTAGACTATCTTTATTGCATGCATCTCAGTAAAAATTTTGCCTTTATTTACCGATGATTATTGGAAAAATAATAAGAAAAAAGTTTGTCATTTGTGAAAAAGTTTTTTGTTTTGTTTCGTTTAAATTTGAAGAATGCTGTCTTATTTAAAAGACCTCATCCCCAAGCAGGGATTGTTTAATTTATGTAGCTATTGTTTCTTTTGATATAAATTTTGTATTTGTCCTAGTCATTGTTATTTTTTTGTTGTTTTAATTGAGTTGTCTTTTTGTTTACATTTTTACACAAATAGTGGAAATTACAATTACCAACAACATTTATTTTTTACTTTCTAAAAATATTCAAACTGCAAAAATTCTTATATGAAAATTATGATTTTTACGTTAAAAATGTGCTTGATAAGAATGTCAGTTCTTGAGTGTAGAGGTTTCGAATTTTGTTTGGTCACTGTTTTCATCAGGTAAATAGATTTGCTTGTACTTTTTTACAAATAAATTTTTTTAAAATAAAATCTCGACAATTGTATTGCGATTTTCTTCACTGGTTAGAATAAAAGTGAATGAGTATATATGTGACTTTACGGCAAGGATATATTTATTACTGAGTATGATTAAAAAAAAATCATGAGACCTAAGTCACAACATGTACTGGTCTGGAAACCATCAGCTTTGTTGTCATAATATTGTTGATAACAATCAGTTGGTCCAAAACGAAATTTTAGTTTTAAAGACATAGTAGTAAGGATTAAATGATAAAACTGCAATATTAATACGAGTATTATTTATCCATTGCATGAAATCTACCTCAGAAAATGTTCAGTATTTCTTAAAATTGACCTTTTCCTGATAAATACCCCTGTACATGTTTTGTTTTATTTAATGCTTAATGCAATCACTATCACCAAGAAGACTCGTATCCCTTTGATCAGAATGAAATATCTCTGTGGTACATTTTATTGCATTTATTTACTTTCTGATCAGACGTGAGGACCGATGGCGTTAGTGGTAGAGGGTTCGATTCCTGATGAGGACAGCCGGTTTGTGTTTACAGGGGATGCTTATTTCTCCATGGCACCTGATCCCATCTCTGATGTCACGGAGGTCCGTGTTTGCTCTGCTCCTATTTTGTATTGTTTTATGGACTTTTGAGCTTGAATATCTTTTTTATCTGCATATATATCATTACAAAAACCAAAAATACAAAACACGAAACACCGGGACTCCAGGTGCCTGGGAGGATTGGGCATCCCCTGCTGATCGGTCACACCCTTCGTAATCCGTATATGGATCAAGTAGATGAAAAAAATTATTAATAGACTAACAGAGTATAAAAACAAAAGCCTAATAATCGGCATGAAACAAACAGGCCAAAGTAAAATTAAGAGATTACAGGTCATATTTCCTAGTACTGCAATTATAAAGACCACACACTGAACCAAACTTCTAAGTGTTCACCTGACATTTTTTAAGTTTTATCGAACAAATGCGTATAATAAATACTTTCTCTAATTCATGTTTAGAGATACGTATTTCAGTTCGACGTTGCGTAAATGTCATGTATCTCGTCAGACTTTTAAGCAAAGTGTCAAGGATATGATGTACCCTCAAAATGAAAATTCACATAAAATAATCTCTATGGAGTAAGACAACTACACGCTCTAATTACTGCAGTATATCCTTTTTTTCATGGATACCATGTACCTCTGAATATTTGATTGACCAATCTGCTTCCACTCTTATTGCATAGATCTTTCTAAACTGTTGAAATTGGGGGGGGGGGGGGGGGGGGGGGCTTTGATATTCCTTATTAAAATTCCCAAAGTATACAATGTGGGATATAGATCCGGGGATTTGGCAGTGCTTCATCACACAGATGCCTTTTGGTTGATATCGTTAGGCGTTTGGCACGTAAGTGTACCACTTTAAGGATGATCCAGACAGGGTGAGATAATATTAGACTGCCAATTTCTAATCAGGTAATCAGGTAACAAACCTTAAACCTGGTTGCGACGCAAAATCTTGGCCTCAAACGCAGAAGGATAAAACGTACGCTCAACTAGGATCTCGGGTCCCCCGCAAATAGTTCGTCATTTTGCGTAGTAATAACACATTTTAGGAACTCTTCAGAAATTTAAAGGCACAAAAGTAAATTCATCGATATCAATACGGAGACCTCAGGTCACCTTATATATTGATTGAATTTTATATGATAGACAGTTTTTTGTCTTACTCCAAAATAATCATATTTATAACTTTATACAAATCTACTTTCTAATATATATAAGCAGAAACTTTACAGTAATTAGGGGGCCCAGAAGTAACCTTATATTATACATCAGTGTGGAGACCAGAGGTTACCTTATATTGCACATCATTAGAGGGATCACAGGTCACCATACATTTTAAATTAATAGGGGCCCAAAGGTAACCTTATATTGTACATCCTTTGGGGGTCCAGAGGTCACCTTAGATTGTACATCATTACGGGGACAAGTGGTCACCTAATACTGTACTGTACATCAGTAGAGGGAACCAAGATCGATCACCTTATATTATACATCAGTACGGGGACCAGAGGACACCTTATATTGTACATCAGTAGGGGGACCAGAGGTCGCCTAATAATGTCCATCAGTAGGGTGACCAGAGGTCACCTAATAATGTACATCAGTAGGGGGACCAGAGGTCACCTAATATTGTACATCAGTAGGGGGACCAGAGGTCACCTAATATTGTACATCAGTAGGGGGAGCAGAGGTCACCTTATACTGTACATCACCAGGGGAACCAGTGGTCACTTTATTATTTACATCAGTAGGGGAACCAGAGGTCATCTTATATTGCACATCAGTAGGGGAACCAGAGGTCATCTTATATTATACATCAGTAGGGGGACTAGAGGTAACCTTTTATTGTACATCAGTAGGGGGACCAGAGGATATCTTATATTGTACAAAAGTAGGGGGACCAGAGGACACCTTATATTGTACATCAGTAGGGGAACCAGAGGGCATCTTATATTGTACATCAGTAGGGGGACCAGAGGATATCTTATATTGTACATCAGTAGGGGAACCAGAGTGCATCTTATCCCGCTTCAGACAAATTTGTTGATTACTGATTGGATAAAAGCTGATCACGTGACGCCCTGAAATTTTCCGTATTACGCCTCCGTCGAGGCGTAATATGAAAATCGGGCACGCGATTCCGTTCGAAGCGTTGTTATTGTAAATAAAAATGACGGCTAAGAAACGGTTTACGTAGGTAGTTTATTTAAATTTATTGTTACCGTAACGATATTTAATGTTGATTGTTATTGGATTAAAACTTAATATTTTCATAATATGCACAAATATCTTTTTTATATTGAAAAAGGTCTTCAGCCTCGGTGGGACTCGGCTTGGCCTCGCCCAATACGGATTTCCATTTCACACCCTGTATGAATCTGTATTAGGTCACTAACTGACTGTGTAACTAATATTATACTGTACATCAGTAGAGAGACCAGAGGACACCTTAAATTGAACATCAATAAGGAGACCAGAGGTCACCTTATATTGTTCATCAGTAGGGGGACCAGAGGACACCTTCTATGTACATCAGTAGGGGGACCAAGGGTCAGCTTATAATGTACATCAGTAGGGGGACCAGAGGGGACCAGAGGTCACCTTATATAGTACATCAGTAAGGGGACTAGAGGTCACCTTATTACTGTACATCAGTAGAGAGACCAGAGGACACCTTAAATTGAACATCAATAAGGAGACCAGAGGTCACCTTATATTGTTCATCAGTAGGGGGACCAGAGGACACCTTCTATGTACATCAGTAGGGGATCAGAGGTCACCTTATATTGTACATCAGTAGGGGGACCAGAGGACACCTTGTATTAAACATCAGTAGGGGGACCAGAGGTAAGCTTAAAATGTACATCAGTAGGGAGACCAAAGGTCACCTTATATTGTACATCACTAGGAGAACCAGAGGAAACCTTATATGTACATCAGTAGGGGGACCAAAAATCACCTTATATTGTACATCAGTAGGTGGACCAGAGGACACTTTATATTGTACATCAGTAAGGGGACCAGAGGACACCTTATATTATTCATCAGTGGGTTGCTTAGAGGACACCTTATATTGTACATCAGCAGGGGGACCAGGGGTCATCTTATATTGTACACATCAGTAGGGGGACCAGAGAACACTTTATTTTGTACATCAGTAGGGGGACCAGAGGACACCTTATGTTGTACATCAGTAGGGGAACCAGAGGTCACCTTATATTGTACATCAGTAGTGGGACCAGAGGTCACCTTATATTGTACATCAGTAGTGGGACCAGAGGTAACATTATATTGTAAATTTTTAGGAGGACCAGAGGTCACCTTATGTGAACATCGATAGGGGACCAGAGGTCACCTTTTATTGTACATCAGTAGGGTGACCAGAATTCACATTATATTTTACATCACTAGGGGAACCAGAGGAAACCTTATGTGTACATCAGTAGGGGGACCAAAAGTCACCTCATATTGTACATCAGTTAGTGGACCAGAGGACACCTTATATTGTACATCAGTAGGGGGACAAGAGGACACCTTATATTATTCATCAGTGGGTTGACCAGAGGACATCTTATATTGTACATCAGTAGGGGGACCAGAGGACACCTTATATTATTCATCAGTGGGTTGACCAGAGGACACCTTATAATGTACATAGTAGGGGGACCAGGGGTCATCTTATAATGTACATTAGTATTGGGTCCAGAGGTCACCTTATATTGTACATCAGTAGGGGGACTAGAGGTCACCTTATATTACACATCAGTAGGGGACCAGAGGGCACCTAATATTGTACATCAGTAGGGGAACCAGAGGACACCTTATATTGTACATCAGTAGGGGGACCAGAGAACACCTTATATAGTACATCAGTAGGGGGACCAGAGGACACCTTATATTGTACATCAGTACGGGAACCAGAGGTTGCCTTATATTGTACATCAGTAGGGGATCAGAGGTCACCTTATATTGTACATCAGTAGGGGGACCAGAGGTCACCTTATATTGTACATCAGTAGGGTGACCAGAGGTTGCCTTATATTGTACATCAGTTATGGGACCAGAGGACACCTTATATTGTATATAAGTAGGAGGACCAGGGGTCAGCGTATAATGTGCATCAGTAGGGGGACCAGAGGTCACCTTATATTTTACATCAGTTGGGGGACCAGAGGACACCTTATATTGTACATCAGTAGGGGGACCAGAGGACACCTTATTTTGTATATCAGTAGGGGGACTCACCTTATACGAAGGCTGTTCAATAATAATGTCCTTTGTGCTCGGAAAGAAACAAAAGACGCTTTTCAATAATTTAGTCTAAATGATTTAACCTTATATTATCTTTTAATTAAAACGCATGTCTGTATCATTTTTTTTGACCAATTTCTTATTGTTTTTAGAACTTATTTTTGGGTATGACCCTTTGAATACTGGCTTAATTATGGCAGATCCTATG